CCCCCGGGCTGAGCCGGGACCCGCGGCCGGGACCCGCACCCCGCCACCCAGCCCGGTACCCCGGGAGCGACCCCGGGGCCCGCACCCCGAGCGCCGCACCGGGGCCCGCCCCCGCCGCCCCCTGAGGCCGCGCCGTGACCCCGCGGCCGCCGCCGACGCCGCCCCGAGGCCCGGCCCCGCCAAAACTTTCCCGAGGCCGAGCGGGGGCCCGCCGTTACCTACGAGAGGCTCCATGGGTGGCCCGGCGCGGCCCGGCCCGGAGCGGCCCCGGGGCCCTCCCGCCGCCGCCGCCGCTGAGGCCGCTCCCGGTGCGGGGAGGGGGGGCGGGGGGGGAGGCGGAACGGAACGCGCCACCCGGAACGCGCCGCCGCCCCCGTTCCCGCCCGGAATGCTTTGGCGGGCGCACGCGGCCGTGCCGGGCGGGGCCGGGCCAGGCCACGCCCCTTCCCCCCCCCCGTGGGGCGCGCGGGCGCGGGGGAGCAGAGCGCCCCCTGGCGGCGCGACGGGAGCCCGGAGAGGGCCCGGGACCCCCGGGAGGGGTCTGGGACCCCCGGGAGGAGCTGTGAGCCCCTGTGTGCGACCTGAGACCCCCTGTGAGGGGCCTGAGAGCCCCATGAGGGGCCTGAGACCCCCAGGAGGGGCCCGTAACCCCCATGAGGGGCCTGCAACCCGCATGAGGGGCCTGTGATCCCCATGAGGGACCCATGATCCCCATGAGGGGCCTGAGACCCCCAGGAGGGGCCTGAGACCCCCATGAGGAGCCCGTAACCCCCATGAGGAGCCCGTAACCCCCATGAGGGGCCCGTGATCCCCATGAGGGGCCCGTGATCCCCATGAGGAGCCCGTGATCCCCATGAGGAGCCCATGACCCCCATGAGGAGCCTGAGACCCCCGTGAGGAGCCCATGACCCCCATGAGGAGCTTGTGACCTCCATGAAGGGCCTGAGACCCCCATGAGGAGCCTGAGACCCCCGTGAGGAGCCCGTGATCCCCATGAAGAGCCTGAGACCCCTGTGAGGAGCCCATGACCCCCGTGAGGGGCCCAAGACCCCCATGAGGGGCCTGAGACTCGCTGTAAGGAGTCAGACCCCGCTGAGGATCTGGCGTATGTGTGGGGTTGGAGACGCCCCTAATGGGGCCAAGACCCCATTTGAGGGGTCGGTAATCCCTCCCGCCGTGGGGCCTGAGACCTTGAGGGGTATCCCCTTCCATGGGGTCAGTACCCCCACAGCAGGGCTGCAATGCCAGCCTCGGAGGGTGAGGGCTCCCCGAGGCTGATTCCCACCGGGAATTGCTTTCCCTAGCATGGAAAGTTTCCTGTTCCTCACCCACGGCACAGGAACAATGCGGAGTGGGGCAGCAGCCTCAGGGCTGGTGGGATGGCCCGTGCCTCTGACATTGCCTGTGACATTCTCTGTGACATTCCCCTTGTCAAGGGCCTCACATTCCCTGTGACATTCCCTGTGGCAAGGGCCTGGCATTCCTTGTGACATTGCCTGTGACATTC